CCGTAGGGATACCAAGGTGCTTGTTTATAAAGCTATTGTCCTCCCAACCCTGCTCTATGCCTGTGAGACGTGACTGTCTACAGATGTCACATGCAACTCCTGGAACGATTCCATCAGAGCTGCCTCCGGAAAATCCTGCAAATCTCTTGGGAAGACAAGCGGACAAACGTCAGCGTGCTGGAAGAAGCAAAGACCACCAGCATTGAAGCAATGGTCCTCCGCCACCAACTCCGCTGGACCGGCCATGTTGTCCGGATGCCCGACCACCGTCTCCCAAAGCAGCTGCTCTACTCCGAACTCAAGAACGGAAAACGGAATGTTGGAGGACAGGAAAAGAGATTTAAAGATGGGCTCAAAGCCAACCTTAAAAACTCTGGCATAGACTGTGAGAATGGGAACCCTGGCCCTTGACCGCTCCAGCTGGAGGTCAGCTGTGACCAGCAGTGCTGCAGAATTTGAGGAGGCACGAGTGGAGGGTGAAAAAGAGAAACGTGCCAAGAGGAAGGCGCGTCAAGCCAACCCCGGCCGAAACCGCCTTCAATCTGGAAACCAGTGCCCTCACTGCGGAAGAAGATGCAGAGCAAGAATAGGGCTCCACAGCCACATATGGACCCACAAGAATATTGGAAGACAATCATCCTCGGAAAGCGAGGGATCGCCTAAGTTAGTAAGTAAGTAAGTACACATATAATATGCCACCAGTACATTATACTATTAGTATGCTATAATGTATTGTATTAAATTGTAAGCTGTAGTATATATATTATATTACAACATTGGGTTGCTGTGAGTTTTCCGGGCTGTATGGCCATTTTGCCCACATCTATGGCAGGCATTCTCAGAAGTTGTGAGGTTTGTTGGAAACTAGGAAAGTGGGGTTTCTAGATCTGTGGAATAATGCCCAGGGAAAGAACTCTTGTCTGCTTGAGGCAAGTGTGAATGTTGCAACTGACTTGCAGCCTCAAAGCCTGGCTGCTTCCTGCCTGGGGGAATCCTTTGTTGGGAGGTGTTAGCTGGCCCTGATTGTTTCATGTCCAGAATTCCCCTGCTTTTTGAGTGTTGATCTTTATTTGCTGCCCTGATTTTAGAGGGTTTTTAAAAATTGTTTGTTGTTTATTTGTTCAGTCGCTTCCAACTCGTGACCTCATAGACCAGCCCACGCCAGAGCTCCCTGTCAGCAATCACCACCTCCAGCTCCTTCAAGGTCAAGCCAGTCACTTCAAGGATACAATCTATCCATCATGCCCTTGGTTGGCCCCTCTTCCTTTTTCCTTCCATTTTCCCCAGCAACATTGTCTTCTCCAAGCTTTCCTATCTTCTCATTATGTGGCCAAAATACTCCATTTGTCACTAATATCCTTCCCTCCAGTGAGCAGTCGGGCTTTATTTCCTGAAATATGGACTGGTTGGATCTTCTCACAGTCCAAGGCACTCTCAGAACTTTCCTCCAACACCACAGTTCAGAAGCATCTATCTTTATAATTATTAACTTTATTTATACCCCGCTAACATATCCCGAAGGACTTGATGCGGCTTACAAAGGTCAAGGCCACAACAAAACAACAGTAAAACAAATACAACAGTAAAACTCATAAAGCAAATAATAAAACATCGAGCAAAACAATAAAACACTAAAAACATGACACTATGATGTATTTAAAACCTAAGGCCGGGCCAAATGTAATGGACAAAATTTAAAAGGTGCTGGATATAACAGGTAAAATGTAGAGGTTTTTGGTGGTGGTGCAATGTGCAGACAATCCTAAATCTCTAACAAAGTGCGTTTGGGACATGATGCTATCTTCCTTCGCTCAGCCTTCCCTATGGCCCAGCTCTCACATCCGTAGGTGACTAATTAATTAATTCCAGACAAGAAACTGTGGTGTTGAACTGTGGTGCTGGAGGAAAGTTCTGAGAGTGCCCTGGACTGTGAGAAGATCCAACCAGTCCATCCTCCAGGAAATAAAGCCCGACTGCTCATTGGAGGGAAGGATACTAGAGAAAAAGTTGAAGTACTTTGGCCACATCATGAGGAGACAGCAAAGCCTAGAGAAGACAATTATGCTGGGGAAAGTAGAAAGTAAAAGGAAGAGGGGCTGACCAAGGGCAAGATGGATGGATGGCATCCTTGAAGTGACTGGACTGACCTTGAAGGAGCTGGGGGTGGTGACGGCCGACAGTGAGCTCTGGCGTGGGCTGGTCCGTGAGGTCACGAAGAGTCTGAGACGACTGAACGAATGAACAACAGACAAGAAACAAATCAGGGCCAGTTAACACCTCGCAACAAAGGATTCCCATAGGCAGGAAGCAGCCAGGCTTGGAAGCTGCAAGGCTATTCAATGCAGTTCTTTCACTTGGTGGGGGGGATGACTGATCAACGTGAAACACATCGTTTTAGATATGTCTGTACTATTGCAACTTAGGCAAAAAGTTTCTTTTCTTGAAGCTTTGACTAGAAAAGAGCGGGAAAAACAAAGGCCCAGTTTAGAGTGGCTGGTCAGGGGAGGAAAGCGAGGCCAACGGGGCCTAAAGGAAGAAAGGCGGCGAGGCTCACCGCCCAGTCGTCGGAGCAGTAGGGGACGGCCTCGGCCACGCCGCCAACCACCAGGCCACGCCGCCTCAGCTCCGGAATTTTCTCTTGGACGAAGAAGAAATAGGCGTTCCGCACTTTCTTGCGGTTCGGCATCTCCTTCAGCGGACAGAGAAACAGAGAAAGAGCGAGAGAGAGAGAGAGAGAGGAAGAGCGAGCCCCTCCCCTTGCTTCCAAACGAGAGGAAGTGCCAAGCGCGCGACGACGCCGAGAAGCCAGCACGTGCCGGCGGGGAACGGCGGTTGGGAAAGGGGCGGGGCTTACTGGGTCTGAAGAGCGCGTGCGCGGCGGAGGGAGCCCAGGAGAGGTGACGTCATCTTCGCAGTGGAACTTAGCAGCTGCAAGAAAGAAGGAGAGAGAGAGGAAGGGCCCTGGCACACAGGCCTGAGTGTGGACTCTGCTAACCCAGATCCAAGCCCAAAGGAGCTTGGAATAATAATAACAAGGGTTTTATCTGTTTTGAGAAGCAGAATGAGGAGGGGACCAATCTAACTGACCTCTTTCCGAGGGGAATTCTAGAGTCATTGGGATTTATAGTTTGGCATTCTTGGACAGAGAAGGCTCAAGACCTTGTAACTCCCATGACTCCAGAGCATTGAGCCGTACTACTACTAATATACTTTATTTATAATCCACCACCATCTTGTTTATTGTTTATTTTTGTTTATGTGATTTATATTAATTGTTTTGTATTGATTGTTTTTTGCTATTGCCTTTGTTTACTGGTGTACTGTGGGCTTGGCCGCACCAAGTCCCATGGGGAGATGGTAGCGGGGTATAAATAAAGTTTTATTATTATTATTATAATCTCCCCAAAGGGGACTCGGGGTGGCTAACATGAGGCCAAGCCCAAAATAATGCAACTTAAAGTGGGATCAGACTGCATTCTATAATGTAAGCACATTCTTGGACCTTTTTAGTCAGGGTGTGGGATTACAGCCTGTGTTGGATGGAGTCTCATTCCCTTTGAAGACACTGGCCTGCAGTCTGGGCATGATCCTGGACTCATTGCTGACCCTGGAACCCCAGGTGTCAGCGGTGGCCAGGAGCGCCTTCATACAGTGAAAACTTGTGCATCGGATGCACTTGACATGCTAGATTTGACACCTTAGTTGCATCCTGCTTAGACTACTGCAATGTTCTCTACATGAGGCTGCCCTTGAAGATAATTTAGAAGCTTCAACTGGTTCAGGGATCAGCAGCCAGATTATTAACTGGAGCTCCGTGCAGGGAGAGATCCACTCCCATGTTGCTCCACTGGCTGATAATCTGCTTCTGGGCTAAATACAAAGTGCTGGTCATTACCTGTAAAGCCCTAAACAGCTCAGGTCCAGGCTGACGAACTATTTGACGAACTGTGTCTCTCACTACAGACCAACTCGGACACTGCGGTCATCAGAGGAGACCCTGCTCTCGGTCCCACCCCTGTCCCAAGTGTGGCTGGTGGGAACGAGAGAAAGGGCCTTTTCTGTGGCTGCTCCTCACCTATGAAACTCCCTTCTTAAGGAACTAAAGATACCCCTCCTCCCTCCCTGCCTTTAAGAAGCAGCTGAAAACTTACTTTTGTTCACTGGCTTATGAAGATGAGGAGGAAGACATGGTAATACTGTCGTTAAACCTCTGATTAATATTGGCCATCTGTACCCGTGCCGTTTCCCCCACTAGCTCAGTTTTCTTGCCCCTAGGAACCCTGCTGGTTCTGGGAAACTGACGCCTCTGTTTGATGTTTTGTTTCGTTTCATGTTTGATATAATAGGTTGCATTTCTTAATTTCAGTTGTTAAAAGTTTGCTTTTATATGTTGAGTTGTCAATTTTCGTTATCACGTGCTTATTGCTTGTTATGTTCAGGCATTAAATATATGCCTTTTATGATTGGAATCCGCCCTGAGTCCCTTTGGGGAGATAGGACGAAATACAAATAAATATTGTGGGATTTTCTGCCTTGATATTCTGGGATATAGGGCTGTGTGAAAGGGCCCTTTCCCCCCTTGCCCTTTCCTTCATTCTTTTCCTTTCCTTTCCCCACCCTCTTCTTTTTCTTTCTTTCTTTTCTCTGTCCCTTCTCTCCCTTTCTTCCTCCTCTCTTTGGGCCCTTCCACACAGCCCTATATCCCAGAATATCAAGGCAGGAAATCCCACAATACCTGTTTTGAACTGGAATATATGGCAGACTCAGGGTGGGTGGGGAGAGAAAGGGAAAAGAGGGAAGGAAAGGGCAAGGGCAGAGAGAAAGATAAGAGAGAGGGAGGGAGAGGAATAAAATGGTACAGTTTTTTATTTTCCTGTTGCTTTCAAGACCTTATAAGAGGTATAGGCCAACTTGGGCCCTCCAGGTGTTTTGGACTTCAACTCCCACAATTCCTAACAGTCTCAGGCCCTTTCCTTTTCTAAGCTGTTCCCTGCATGGAAGGAAAGTCTTAGGGCCCTTCCACACAGCCCTCTATCTCAGAATATCAAGGCACAAAATCCCACAATATCTGCTTTAAACTGGAATATATGGGGGTGGCGACGGCTGACAAGGAGCTCTGGTGTGGGCTGGTCCATGAAGTCACAAAGAGTGGGGAGCGACTGAACGAATAAACAACAAATATGACAGTGTGGACTCAGATATCCCAGTTCAAAGCAGATATTGCGGGATTTCCTGCCTTGATACTCTGGGATAAGGGGCTGTGTGGAAGGACCCTTAGAAATGTTTCAGATGCAAAGTGTATCATTATGCAGTTGCTAATGAGAGAGGAGCTCTGCCAATAAGAAAAGAAAAGGGCTGAAGGCTGTTAGGAATTGTGGGAGTTGAAGTTCCAAACACCTGGAGGGCCCATGTTTGCCTATGCCTGCTTTATCAGGTAACTGAGGGTTGCAATTAATTTGAGTAGTTATGAAAAGACTAGAAAAGAAGGGGCATTGGGAGAGAGTCGGGGCCTCTACATCTTGTTGGACTGCCAGGCAGAAAGAACAAGAATTCAAGGACATCTATTCCTTTCTGGAATATCTGTATGGAAAGGGAACAGGTTAAACTAAGGGCCCTTCCAGACATGCCCTGTGTCCTAGGACCTGTTCCCAGGTTTTTTGCTTTAGACTGGATTCTATGAGTCCGCACTGCCAGATAATCTGGAATAAACAGAAAACCTGGGATCAGATCTTGGGATATAGGGCATGCCTGGAAGGGCCCTAAGGGCCCTTCTACACCACCATATAAAATCCAGATTATCTGCTTTAAACTGTATTATATGGCAGTGTAGACTCATATAATCCAGTTCAAAGCACATCATATGGGTTATCTGCTTTGATAATCTGGATTATATGGCAGTGTAGAAGGGGCCTGAGAGAACGAAGCTGGAAGTGGTGTAATCTTTCCTCAGGTTGCATCAGCCTTGTGGAGGTGAAAAAGTTGGACATTGCTTTAACTGCCAGGGCGCAATGCTACAGAATTGTGGGAATTGTAGCTTACAAGGCTTGTGCCCTGTCTGCCAAAGGCTGCTGCCTCACCAAACCTACAAGCCCCAGTATCCCATAGCATTGACCTTTGGCAGTTAAAAAGGTGCAAGACTGCATTAATTCTATAGTATAGCTCAGGCATGGGCAAACTTCGGCCGTCCAGGTGTTTTGGACTTCAACTCCCAGGCTGTTAGGAATTGTGGGAGTTGAAGTCCAAAACACGTGGCGGGCTGAAGTTTGCCCATGCCTCGTGGACAACAAGTTAAATATGAGCCAACAATGTGATGTGGCGGCAAAAAAAGCCAATGGGATTTTGGCCTGCATCAATAGGAGCATAGTGTCTAGATCTAGGGAAGTCATGCTACCCCTCAATTCTACTGTGTCCAATTCTGGGCACCACAATTCAAGAGAGATATTGGAGCTGGAATGTGTCCAGAGGAGAGCGACTAAAATGATAAAAGGTCTGGAGAACAAGCCCTATGAGGAGCGGCTTAAGGAGCTGGGCATGTTTAGCCTGAAGAAGAGAAGGCTGAGAGGAGATATGATAGCCATGTATAAATATGTGAGAGGAAGCCACAGAGAGGAGGGAGCAAGCTTGTTTTCTGCTTCCTTGGAGACTAGGACGAGGAACAATGGCTTCAAACTACAAGAGAGGAGATTCCATCTGAACATGAGGAAGAACTTCCTGACTGTGAGAGCCGTTCAGCAGTGGAACTCTCTGCCCCGGAGTGTGGTGGAGGCTCCTTCTTTGGAGGCTTTTAAACAGAGGCTGGATGGCCATCTGTCAGGGGTGATTTGAATGCAATATTCCTGCTTCTTGGCAGGGGGTTGGACTGGATGGCCCATGAGGTCTCTTCCAACTCTTTGATTCTATGATTCTATGGGATAGATGCAACTTCTGCAGTTACTCAACAAAAAAGGAAACACAGCCATTGTCTTTGGAAATGTTTGCTTACATATATGACCTCTTACAAGCAAAAGAAGAGCATCCTAGCATAAGCAACTGGTAACTTCCCTGCAGTTATAATCTAATTACTTTTTAACAATAGTGAGCATACCAACACCTATCAGATCAGTCAGTGGGACATTTCACTTTTTGGGGACATTTGCTGCTGCATCAAGCCAAGTTGCTTTGCCTTTCCCCATCTCTCTTTAATACCTTGCTGGTTTCCCTTAAGTTCATTCTTCCTTACACTTGATGTCAGGGTTGGAGAAGAAAAGATTTGGGGCAGGGCAGAAGATAGGGTTGGGATGATATGCAACAGAGGTAGTTAGTTCCCCAGTACTGTACATACCTCCATCCACAATCCTTGCTAAATATGCCGAAGGTTGCAGTTTGAGAAAGAAATAACTACTGTACTACGAAGCTTGAATATGGATACCAAAATCTGTGGGTACTCAAAGTCTATATATATCTCCCCCTTGATTTTATCATTGTATGTATGGGAAACCATTTTACCACACCATTATATATAATGTGCTTTGAGTACACACACACACACACACACACATGTTCAAGTTGTAGATAGTTGAATACTGGATAAAGAAAGTATATGAAACACTGAACAAATCAATCTTTTTCTGTAGTTTTCTCGTGAGTAATAATAACAATTTGGATTCATACTGGGCTGATCAACCAGAATAATGTAGAATCTCTTGCACTTCATTAGGTTGTTATGGCTCATTGTGCAAACGTCTAAAATTGGTAAGAGCCGCTAGCATGCCAGCTAAAACAGCAGTTGCTGGGTAGCATGTAGTGGCACCCAACGCTGTTTTAGCTATGATACAATAGACAGGCGTGAGGAAGA